GCCTGACATCCTGCCCCAGGGGCCCACTCCAACTTCGCTCACAGAACGCGGTGTCCATCGGGTGCTTGCGCTGCTGGGCCCCTACTTGGCCCTGGGGATGGAGAGAGAGGAGACAGAAACCCAGCCCGCCAAGCAATCACAGACAGGGGCAAGGGCCGAGCGGCCAAACAACAATCTACGTGTTTCAGTCCTCCTAGGGCATAGGTGATAAAGGTGATATACTGAGAAGGAGCAGTGAAACATGGGGCCCAGCAACAGAGCGTGGAGGCCTTGAATTTTATTTCTGCAGGGTTTAGACTTGAGCTAGAAGACCCTGGAGAGAATTGAAGGATTTTATGTAAGGGGAGTGCCCCGTCATACGCCTGCTGCAGAAAGATTGCTCTGCCTGCGACGTGGGGAAGGAACCAGGTGGGGCAAGGTTGGAGAGGCCGCCTGCAGGCTGCAGCCCAGGCAATGGTGTGAGTCTCCTGAGAGGAAGGAGGCAAGAAAGGGTAGAATTTAAAAGACTTAATGATGTATTTAGTGAAAAAGGACAAAAAAGAAAATGACTCCTGGGAGGCCAACGGAAGCAGGTGGTGGGTGGCAGTGCCCTTGCCACAATCCTGAAGATAGAAAGAGCCATTCTGAGAGGGGAAAGTGAAGAGATTAATATTAACATGTTCATTTTGAGGTGCCCGCCAGTGGAGATGTCACATTCAAATGGGAATTCCCATTCAAGCATCACCTTCTCCGCGAAGCCTTTCCCCATGGAACTATTTCAAATTATAAAACCCTCGCTCCCTTTCCCTGCTTTCTATTTTCCATTGTTCTTATCACCATCTAACATACCACGCTTTGTATTTTGTTATGTCTTCTCCACCCTCCAACCAGTCAGAATGTAAATTCCACGAGAACAAAAATATGTGTGTGTGTGTGTGTGTGTGTGTGTGTGTGTGTGTGTGTGTGTGTGTGTGTGTGTTTGGCTTAATACAAATTGGATACCTAACAGTCCTGGCCATCAAAAGCCTAAAGTGGTTCTCACTGAGCTAAAATCGTGCGTTCCTTCTGGAGATTCTAGGGGAGCATCTGTCATCTCTTTCCTGCTTTCGAGATGTCCCTTGCATCGCTTGGCTCACGGTTCCCCTTCCTCTGTCTTCAGAACCAGCAGTGGCAAGTCACGTCCACCTCACACCACCTCCCTCTTCTGCCTTGAGGGACCCTGTGGTCCTGTTGGGCCCTCGGTGTGTGTTTTGTTCCGTTCTGTACCACCAGCATCTGGGACGAGGCCTGGTAAGAGTGTGTGCTCAGTACATCCATGTCCAGCAGGAAATTGATACGCAGGTCAGAGTTCAGGAGAGTCAAGACAGAGACGAAATCATCGGGAGACAGGAAGCCACGGAGCGAATAAGTTCATCCAGAGCGAGTTGTGTAGAATGGGAACATCTGTGAACAGAGGGCGAAGGACAGAACCCAGAGGAACAGCCCCAGGCAAAGAGTGGGTGGAAGCAGAGCTCGCTGGGGAGACTGAGAGAGGAGACTCAGGAAGGACAACCCGGAGAACGCAGCGCACAGAAACCAAGGAGCAGGAGAGTTCCTGGAGCTCCTGGCGCTTCCAAGATGGCACTGGACTTGGGAACCTTGAGTGGAGCACTGTGGCCGGTTTGGAAGACACAATAAGATTACATATGGCATTTCTAACCAGGCTGAAATACATGTTTAGGTTTGCCTGAGCCCCCACAGTATAATCAGATCAAGTCTAACATTGGATGAGAATGTTCAACCCAAATAGGAACAAAGCTCATGTGTCTTGTCTGGAGACCTTGAAGTCTGTTTCCAAAGTGAGGCTGAACGTGGCCCTACGTTGCCTCCCTTCCCGAAGGCGTCTGGAAGAGTTGACACGCATGTAGTGCATGGAGGGTAGTCCCAGCACGGGGCAGCGACACTCCACGTGTGCCCTGTCCAAGGTGTGAAAGCCCTGCCTAAAGACGCTGGCTGCCTGGGAGGCAGACAAGGGCGATGGCAGATGTTTGCCCAGAAGGTTGTGCAGTCCTCACCTGGAGAGGTAAGGTTATTGCTCCAGGCGCTTCGCTTCTCTGCTGGGGGCAGAGTATCCGGACTGGGCTCTTAATGGCAAGCCTGCCCGCAGGGTATCTCCTACAGTTGCTGCAAAGCTATCTGCTCTGTTACTAAGAATTCTGCCCTGGGGAACAATTATGTTATTGCACTAATTAGAGGCAGTTCTTCTCCAAGATAATAGAAATCCTGCCTTAGAGGCAAAGCAACATCAAAGCAACTGGAGCAAGAGGCTCTGGATGGGATCTGTCGCCCTGCTTATTGGCGGTGCCGCATCGTTTTCATTGCGCATGTGCAGTCATTATGGGGATGGACAGCACATCCTGCCCTCCAGACTCAGACCCGGGATTCTCCCCATGGCTTCGGCTTGGCCCTCCTAGAGCCACGGATGAAAGGCTATGGCTTTGAGATCCCCTGAAGTGCATTTGCAGTGGGGGGTTAGAGATTTGTTTCTAGATGTTTGTGATGATGCACAAACCCGGTCCCAAACCGCCAGCCACAGGCCTTTTCTTTATGTGTCGTCTGTCACCTTGTGCTATGGTCAGGGGCTAAAGCGATGACCAGATTCAGGCAGGGACGCCCTGCCACCTGTTCTATGCATGTGGTCTCTGCATTTGTTAGGCCTCAGGACATGCTGAGAAGAGAACTGGATTTTTACACAGAAAGATTTAAATAAAGTCCCCAGTGTAAAGGTGGCACTTGATTAAAGTGTCACCGAATCGGCCCTCTTGGCGACTATTACACTAACCTCTTAGCTGGTTTACTTGGAACCAGCCCCCTCTCAAATCCTCCACAAGATGAAATGCCCCACATCACATCTCTGATCAATTCAGTTCACATTCGTCACACACTTCTCTGTACAAGACGTATTTTAGATATGAACCTAACCTAATTTAAATCAGGGTTCTACGGTGTCATTAAAAAGGGACCAAACAATTTCTAGAGTGGTTTAAAGGACAGAGGCTTTTTATCTGATACAGTTACAGATTTTATTTTTTAACAATATGTAAAATAATATTCTATCGTCTCCAACACACATATACATATAGCTATTTTGATATGCAAGCCTGGAAAAGAGTCTGGAGTCCCCTGCAGACACATGGATGGTGGTTTCCCTGGGCCTTTCGACCCCCCCTCCTGTCCCTCTCCCCCCCTTCCTTCCTTCCCTCCTCTGACATTTACACATTTTATATTCACACGTATGATTACTTCATTAACGTTCGTCTCCTGTAACAGGCCGGAAGGCCGTGAGGGAAGATGCCTCGCGTGTGTGTTAGAACACACCGTTCCCCCAGCCCCTGCTGCTTCCGGGCCAAGAATACTGTCGCGACTCAATATTTTTGTATGAAATGAATGCATCAACCAACCCAAGTCCTCTGATTCTTGGAGGAGGTTGGTGGAGAAGGTGGTGGTGGGGTGTTAAGTGGAAGGTGCAGCAATAGTGAAACATATGCAAAGGGAAAGGATGAGAAATATTTGAGCAGGAAGGTTCCTCAGAACCTGGCTGAGGAAGACACTGTGCGCCAAGGGGAAGAACTTGCATGTCACTGGAGAATGTTTGGGGCACAGGTCTCCCCACACCTTTAAAGTTGTGTCCCGTCCTTGATCAATTGAGTTCGATGTGTGTACACAGGCAACGTCTGTTGTGACTTACTGTGCCGCCATCTGGGAATTCACTTGACCTTCCTGAGTCAGTGTCTCTCTATCCCGAAAGCAGAGACCATGAAGCCATTCTCACGTGTACACCAGCAGATGGGTGCTGAGCCGGCTGCAGGGGGACCCACAGAGGTACCTTGAAAAATGCAGAATGCCACTCTCCATTGCCAAAGATTCCTTCTGGGGGATTCTCAAAGGAGGCCCAGGAATCTGAGTCTGTTTTTAAGTTTCCCAGAGGATTCCAGAGCCAGGTGGGACACCATCATATAGCTGGCGCCCCAGTGACCTCGGGACAGGCAGCCAGTCACGTGACCTACAAGCCCCGACGCTGGTCAGGCTTCCGCCTCGCCGTGCCACCTGCTCTGTCACTTACACCTTCTTCTTGTGCCCTGTGGACCTCCTGCCACTTCTTCAAATGTCCTTCTTCCTCGTGCCACCAAGCCTTTCCACGCGCTTCTCTCTCTGCCTGGCATGCTCCTATCCAGGGCTGGACAGGCTGCAGCCCACGGGCCAGAGCCAGCCTGCCACCTGTGTCCACACAGCCTGCAAGCTGAGACTGGTTTTACATCGTTAAATGGTAGGAAATAAACCCAAAGAAAAAGAGCATTTGGTGACACATGAAAATTAGATGAAATTCAAACTTCAGTGTCAACGCGTCAAGTTTTGCTGGACACAGACCTACTCATTCATTTAGAAATCGTCTCTGGCACCCCCAGGGCAGGGTTCAGTGGCTGTGACAGAGACCGCTGGCCTGCAAAGCCTGAAATATCGGCACTCCTGTCCTTGACAGAAAAAGTGTGCAGTCCCCCCGCTCCTCCAATTCACGGCACATCTCTGGAAACATGGGGCTTTAAAACATCTTCCTAGTAATATGACCTTCCGACTGCTTGGCTTTCTTTCTTTTTTTTTCTTTTTTTAATTAAAATGTGTTGGGTGACAATGGATAGTAAAATTACATAGGTTTCAAGTGTACGATTCTGTAATACATCATCCGTATATCACACTGTGTGCTCACCACCCAGAGTCAGTTCTCCTTCCATCACCACATATTTGATCCCATTTACCCTCATCTACCACCCCCTCCTCCCTTACCCTCTGGGAACCACTAAACTGTTGTCTGTGTCTATGAATTTTTGTTTTTTATTTGTTCCTTTGTTGCTTTCAGTTTTATATCCCACATATCAGTGAAATCATATGGTTCTCGGCTTTTTCTGTCTGACTTATTTCACTTAGCATGATAATCTCAAGATCCATCCAGGTTGTCGCAATCCATGTTGTCATCATTTTTTATAATAGTATTTTATTGTATGCTGCTACCAGTGCATATAAAATAATTTCCCTTATGAAATAGAAATTCATGAAAATTCAGAGAGGTAGATGTTAAGGACATGCAAAAGCAAAAGTTCGATGATAGTGTGGCACATGTTATAGGGATAAGCTTTGTGTACAGGCATCAGATTTAGCTCTCCTTTGAATATTCACTGGTTCATGAAAAGTGGTTTAGAAAACCTCCAAAGATTCGTTGCACTACAAAAAGGAACAGACTTTCTGGGGTCTGAAGGGATTTGTACTTGAAGATACTCCAGTCAGCAGGGGTTCACGTTGAGCATTCTGCAAACAGAATTGTTTCAAATCTGCAGCTGCCTGAGAAACCTTCACGCAGTTGAGCCCGGCTTCCAGCCGGAGCTGTTGAACCACTTTCTTCAGAGCGGTGACACAGGAGGAACGAGACATGGCGCACGTGAGAGCCTGGCAGATTAGTCGGTTGTTCATCATTTCTTATGGCAGAATAGTATTCCATTGTGTATATGTACCACATCTTCTTTATCCAATCATCTGTCGAAAGACACTTTGGTTGTTACCATGTCTTGGACACTGTAAATAAAGCTGCAGTGAACATCAGAGCACATATATCTTTACAGAGAAATGTTTTCAGATTTTTTGGGTAGATACCCGGGAGAGGAATTGCTGGGTCATATGGTAATTCTATTCTTAAATTTTCGAGGAACCTTCACACTACCTTCCATAGCGGCTGACCCAACCTGCATTCCCACCAACAGTGTATGAGGGTCCCTTTATCTCCAAAGCCTCTCCAACACTTGTGATCATCTGTCTTGTTGATGATGCCATTCTAACAGGTGTGAGGTGATATCTCATCATGGCTCTGATTTGCATTTCTCTGATGATCAGTGATGTTGAGCATCTTTTCATGTGTCTATTGGCCATTTATATGCCCTCTTTGGAGAAATGTCTATTCAGATCCTCTGCCCATTTTTCACTTGGGTTGTTTTTTTTTTGTTGTTGTTGAGTTGTGTGAGTTCCGTATGTATTTTGGATATTAGCCCCTTATCGGAGGCATTTTTAATTTGGTTTCAGTTTGGTTTTTGTACCTTTTACTTGACCTTTGTCACTTATCCTTTGATTAAGTTGTCACTTCCACTGGGCCCATCTCGTGCAAAGCGCAGAGGAAGTGATTTGGTTGGAGGGCTGAATGCTGTTCCTTCTGTCTCTGGAGCAGCAGGTCCTGGGACAGCTCCTTCTCATGCCCCCAAAGCCTTGAACATGCTCAGAAGTCAGAGCTGAGGGAGCCTCCCATGTGAAGAGCCAGAAGGTGAGGGCTGGTGGGGATCGGGGGACGTACACGCCTCCTGCTCTTCCCAAAATGTCTGTAAAACCAGCAAAACAATGACGTGATGGCGACTCCTCAGCCTTGGCCGAGAATCTGTGATTTACACCAACTGTTTCACACAGGGGTTTTCATTTTAATTTTATGATTATAAAAACCATAAACTGTCTGTTTTGGTTGAAGAAGGAAGGAGAGGCTAGAAATCACAAGACTTTCTTCCTTGGGTTTATTAAATTTATAAAATTGGGCAATATTGACACACACGAAACAATTGGGAAACCGCCAATGAAGTACAAATTGACATAATACAGTCCAAACAGAAGTACATGGCCGTCCTCAGGGAACACGCGTCAGCATCAGGCAGGCGCTGCCAGAACTGGTTTCCAAAGGGAAGCGAGTTTACGCTGTTATTAAAGAAAGTGAGCCACATAGAGAGGCAGCGAGGGAACAGCGCCGTCCGTGTTGGAGCTCATGTCCACGCAAGATTAAGGGCTGGACGGCAGCAAGTCTCATACGGAAGTGAGGGTGAGAGAGGGAACCACACAGGAGGAAGACTCGACGTCGGTAGGGAGCAGGTGGGAGAAGTGGGGGAACAACCAGAGGGGAGCTAGGTGCTTCAGGTTTCTTGATGGGAGGTGGTTAACGTGACTAATGTTGACAGGTATAAAATAAAGTGACAGCACCCTGCGTGTCGGCTCGGCGATGAAGGAGTTGGGAAATCCCAAGCTGTTAAGATGAAATAGGACTTTGCTGTTCCTTTCTGCCCCTAGTGCGTTCATGAATCAACCTGGGCTGTGGGAGCCCTTGGGATTCTGGATACTTATTACTCTGACTCTTGTCATGTGTCTCTTGGTTATCTTGTGGTCATCATTTTTTCCCCCACATAATCATAATCATAATAATAATAATAATAACTAGCTTTTTTTCAGTCTTTACCCCTCTGCTAAACATGCCACATGTGTTCTCTTTTAGTTCTCAGAGAAGCATTATGAGATCAATCCTATTATTAACCCCACCTTTTAGATAAGGAACCTGGGTGCTTCCTTACCTGAGGTTGCAAAGCTGGACAGTGTCCGAGCCTGGATTCACACCCAGGCCTCACTGACCTCGTCCCTGTACCAGATTTGCTTAAACAAGGAACACGCATTAGACATTCCTCTCTACAGCAAGGAGCACATGGAATCTGGTGCTAAGTCCATGAATTAGCAGTAAAAATAAAGCACTGCTTTCATTGCCTCCCTTTTAAGGCAGCAGGATGTTGCCGGTGCTTTTAATGTGGCTACACTGACTGGCCAGAAGCAGCTTCTACTGTTGCTCGTTTCATAGTTTCAGTAATGAATTGGCGGCCTTCAGAATCATGGCTTTATCGTTTCCTGGGGAGGAGGAGGCATGGCGGCCTGATTTCAGGGCTGGGGTAGAGCCATCGCAGCCCCTTGGAGAAGAGGTCAATTAAGTCCTTGAACGACCTCAGCACTGCCTTTGTTCAGAGGAAATAGCTCTGTATCACCAAATGGGTTTAAGTGATCATGAAAATAGTCCAACCAAAGTGGCATGTAGTTAGAGCAATTAGAACTGAAGTGACGTGATTGGATGTGGAAACCAGAAGGCGGTGCCCTCTCAGCAGAGACGAGGCGGATCGTTTGTGTTTCTCCTGACTTGGTCACCCCTGGAAATAGAATCTGCTGGGCCACTTAGAGGTAGACAAGCCACGCAAATACGGATGGTCTGTGTCCAACCCTGAGTTTCTGTGGTACAGTCTCATCCTCATATTTCAGTCGCAGAGTTAATTGGATCTCTACTAGTTAATATCCATCATGGTATCTCTTCATCCCTTTTGCCAAATGATCTAATTAGAGCAACACTTGGCTCTCCATGTAATTACAACATATGGCGCCTAGAGGGTACATATAGTGGAATTATAGGTTGCCTGATGAGAGATCCAGGTGGTGGGTGAAAGACTCTATCAAACAAAGTTGGAGTGGGTGTTGTAGTATATACAACCCCTCCTACTCTCCCCGGAAAAAGAAATATTTTGTAATTTTTGTAATTCAGCTGTCTTTCCCACATGAAACAACATAATTACATCATAGAATAGGAGGTTTAACATTTGAAAGAAAGCAAATAATTGATAATGTGAGCCTAAATTATTTAGCGTTCCATACCTCTAAAAATTACCTGGTGTGGTAAGTCAGCAGCGCCAAAAGCAGCTCTCTGTAAGATGAATTATTCAGGGGGGTGTATTCCTGCCAAGACCACTTACCTGCGTGGCTGCTCAGTATATAATCAAAATAGGGCTGAATCCTTTGACCGATAAGAAGGACGGGTTTCCTCATGCTTATGTATGATCTCTGGAAGCAGACTGACCCGTTTGGGTGGGTGATGATCTCAGTCTGGGGGTGTTGAGTGTGAAAAGCTTACCATGCAGTGGTACCTGGAACCCACCTGCCCAGGCCTATCTTCCTAGGTCCCTGTTCGGTGATGTGACATTCGTAGCTTGACCTTGACCAAAGTGGGAATATTAACAGCATGGAGATGGGCACGTGTCAGGACATGTTTTCCACAGAGAGCCAGTTAGGAGACGAGCACGCCGTTACTTGTGTGACATAATGCAGCTCCGAGTTGGTTGATGAAGACTGGAAACATAGCTTTCCGACTCATCTGCTCTGAAGTGATGAGGGCGAATGGGGTTCAGCGAGAGAACATGGAAAAAGAATTCTGGATAGACTCTTCTAAATTGTGTCAAGTGCATGAGAGAGAAAAAGAAACCAAGAAATCCATCAGCAGACAGAGGAGAACCAGGAAAGCGGGGCGTTCTGAGATTCTAGGGAAGAGCGTATCATAAATAGGCAGTATTTCACATTGTCAGGTGTCGCTGAGCGGTCATAAAGAGTGAGTGCCACAAGCTGTATATATTTGGTGTGGTGATAACGAAGTCAGAAGTAACCAGAAATAAGCACTTTCAGGGAAAGCCAAAGCTCTATTGGCTGGATAAGCAGCTGGGTGCAGCAACTAGTTTTAGCAGATGTCAAGTAATGAACGAGAGGAGGAAACCGGATCTGTTGGGGGAGTGACATGCTTGTGGCAAGGATCTCATTGCGATGGAAGACACTGGGGCACAGCTACATCCTGAGGAAATCACACTGTTGAAGGTGGAGCTAAAGGCATAAGGGAAGGGAGATGGTTCTCAAGGAGACAGGAGGATATGGGACCGAAATCAATTAATGCGGGCAAGAAGGACGAACCTGTCTTCTCCTCTGACTGTGAGGAGGTAGAGCAGGTGGGCAGGGGCACAGAGAAGTAAGTGTGAAAGAGGGCGCTGAGGAATTTCACGCAATAGGGCCTTGACCATGGTCTCGATAAAATGAGACTCAAGGTCATCCTTTGAAAGCGTGGCCATTGAAGGGGTGATTGTGTGCTTGAGAGAAAAAGCTGTCTGGGCTGTCTTCTATGGTCAATGTGACAGGAATTAGATGGGATTTGGGTGGTGCTTTCTATCTATTCAGTTGTTTCCACACACATTGGCTTTCCCACATATTGATTTGCTCTAAAGGGTTTTATTCCAAAAATGGTGGTTTGTTCCAAAGGATGCGTAAAGTTGTTATAGGAAAAATGAGGTTGACTGCTCTTAACACCAAGAAAAAAATGGTTTTTTTCGGGTGAATTAAATACATTCTGACTCAGAAAAAAGCAATGCACTTTAAAATTCCTTTTACCCTTTCTCGTTTTCTCAAGGACGCACACGCCTTCTGTCCCTCTGCTGTTGCCTCCCTCCCCGAACTCTCTTCTCACTTTCTCTTGGTCCTCCTGGTGGGGCAGTGTACCTTCATCTTCCTCAGAAACGTCACTCCTTTGCGCTCTTATACCTGTCCCTGAGCCATCCCATCCCCTCCTGTGGCTTTAAACCCCATCTACACTCACAACCCCCAAATGCTCATCCACAGTCCAGGGTTCTCCCTTGAGCAATTCAGGCTTAACATGCCCCAAACGGAACCCGTTCCTGCTGCCAGCCTCCACCCGAAAACCTGTGCTTCTGCCCGGTATACCATCTCCGTCTTGTTGCTTGCTCCAGCAACCTAGACACCATCTTTGACATGTCTCCTGCAGCATCCCACATATCCAATGCATTAGTA